GATTGATTCACGCCAAGTTTTGTTGAAATCGGTTCAGATTTAGATGTAGCTCTCATATATAGTTTCGTCCGATTTTAGGTAAATGGTGCACCAAACTCCCAATATTTGTCCGATTGAGACAAAATTTTGCACAGAGTATTGACTTAGGCCCAGACTGATGTATGCGAAGTTTTGTTGAAATCGGTTCAGATTTGGATATAGCTCCCATATATAGTTTTATTCGATTTTAGGTAAATGGTGCACCAAACTCCCAATATTTGTCCGATTGAGAAAAAATTGTGCACAGAGTATTGATTTAGGCCCAGACTGATGTATGCGAAGTTTTGTTGAAATCTGTTCAGATTTAGATATAGCTCCCATATATAGTTTCGTCCGATTTTAGGTAAATGGTGCACCAAACTCCCAATATTTGTCGGATTGAGACAAAATTTTGCAGAGAGTACTGAATTAGGTCTAGATTGATAAACGCCAAGTTTTTTTTTTTGAAATCGGTTCAGATTTAGAATATAGCTCCCATATATAGCTTCGTCCGATTTTATGTAAATTGTGCACCATACTGCCAATATTTGTCCGATTGAGACAAAATTTTGCACAGAGTACTGAATCAGGTCTAGATTAATACATGCCAAGTTTTGTTGAAATCAGTTCAGATTTAGATATAGCTCCCATATATAGTTTCGTCCGATTTTATGTATATGGTGCACCATATTATCGATGTTAGTCGAAATTGGACAACAATTTGCACAGACTAATGTAGATTGATGCATGTCAAGTTTTGTATTAGATTTTGTGTCGAGATAAATTTTGGATAACGCACTGTGTTGCAGCATAGAATTGTGGATGCCACGGTTGCCCAAATACGTCCATTTATATATAGATCTTTTATATATGTTGCTCGATGATTGGCATTTCATAAATTTCAGATTGTACCCAAAGTGGTGAAGGGTATCATATAGTCGGTCCCGTCCGACTTTTGAACTTTCCTTACTGGTTCAATTTCATTTCGTGCTCAACCAAGTCCATAATGAAGGGGCCTGATTCTGTACCATTTGAAAATTTTTTTTTTTTTGGAACATATTATGGTTGCACATGTTACGCACATTTCGAAATATTTTTTTTTTTTCAATTTTTTTATTGGTTTGATTTCAAGTGTGGGCTTCAATTTGGACATTTGAAGAAAATAAATTCAAGAGTAGAGTAGAGATTGATTGAAAACACCCATGTACTTGTTATTGTTTTTTGTGGCCATTTCAGAGATGTTTGACAGATATTTTCAATATTCAGTACAATAGGACCTACAATAGGCGCGGATTTTTAAAATAATATTTTTTTCAGGGACTTACAATGGGTTATTAAGATAACATTTTTCAGGACCTACAATATGCGCGGATTTTTAAAATAATATTTTTCAGGGAACTTCGATGCAGCAATCTCCAATATATGCCATATTTTAATTGTACTGCTACATACATATACCGATTGTTCCAATCCACATCTGTCTGCTGCCAAGCTAGCTACACCCAGCTACACTATTTTTTTGGCCAATTAGAAGATTTGATAACTGCGGATTTTTGTTTTTCTGTATTTCATTAGCCTTATATTGTCAGGCAGGCAGCCAGCCAGCCAAGCCGGGCATGCTGTCTGCCTCACTCAAGTCATGTTACCGATCTTACCACCACTTGTGGCACATTTCTATGCATTGACACACTCACGCACCCAAACACAAACACACACACACACAGTAGCAGTGGCAACATTTTTCTACTATAAATATTGTTGCAATTTCTAAAGAACTGATTAGTCGGTGGTCGCTAACAAAATCGAGTTAGAGTGCGTAGAATTGCCAACAAACGGAAAAAAAATAATTTCCAATTTTTTTATTTAAAAAAACGTGCCAAAAATATATAAAAAGAAAAAAATGAAATATTTCGTAAGTTTATGGTGTAGATAACTCTGCAGGAATTATTATTTTGGTGATTTTTCGAAAAAACATTGACACTGGACGGCAATAAAAAACATTGTGTGCTGCTACTTAAAGGGTCCTAATTCAGAAAAAATGTTTGAATAAAATGTTGTTTAAAAAATTCCCAAAAGTTTGGATCCTGAAAAAAATCTAGGTTCCTGAAACAATATTAAAAACATATCCTCTGTCTGTGTGTTCCTGAAAAAAAAAAAAATATTTTAAAAATCTAAGCCTTCTGTTTTTTTCTGAAAAAAAAAATATTTTAAAAATCTACGCCTTCTGTATTTTCCTGAAAAAAATATTTAAAAAATCTACGCCTTCTGTATTTTCCTGAAAAAAATTATTTAAAAAATCTACGCCTTCTGTTTTTTTTTTTTTCAGAAAAAAAAAATTATTTTAAAAATCTACGCCTTCTGTATTTTCTTAAAAAAATTATTTTAAAAATCTACACATTCTGTAGCTCCCCGAAAAAAATTTTAAAAATCTATGCTTTCTATAGATGGCAGAAAACAATTTTTTTAAAAATCGACGCCTTCTGTAGGTCACAGAAAAAACATATTTAAACCAGTGAGCGGGGCAGTATAGTCGGACGGGGCCGACCATACGATACCCTACACAACTACCACAGAACTCTATCTTTCTGCGGATTTTTATTCCGAGCCTGGGTAATATTTCGTGATAGTTGCATCCTCTTGCTCGATTAGAGGTCAAAAGCACCTCTGCATTACACTGACATATTTTCCGAATATTACCAATATTCAGTACAGCCCTTCTAATTACTGGTCATCACCGAAAATTATAGGCGTTGTCCTTGACCAGAACTAGAACCTCATGGAACATTTCAAGGCGATCAGCGCTATAGTTCCGCTCTCTAGAGTGATAATGGGTTACTAAATAATATACGAATACGGAGATAGCTGTAAATATTTAGGTTTAACTCCCACATCCGAGCACATACGACAATATAATTGGTATTAATTGAAAGGTCAACTAATCCTCTTGGATATAATATCAAATTCTCGGGTCTATGTCCTTCTTCACACAAAAGTCAGGGTCCATTTGACCCTCTAAATATTGACCGAACTTCATCAATGCTTATTGTTTGGCCCGATTCCCTTATCCACGTAAAATTTCACGATGTTCGGGTCATTATTGCGGCCTCTGGAGCGACCAGAAAAACCGACAAAAATTTAGTATTTGGTCCATTTCATTCCCTAAATAGTAACCGATCTTTACCAAAATAGGGGTCTTTATTGGCCAGACCCCATCTTACATGCATTGGCCAGACCCCATCCTACATGCAAAATTTCGTGTAGATTGGTCTGTGGTCTGTATCGTGTTTACAAATTATAATGGACATACGGACGGACACACACGTCTAGATCGACTCAGTTAGTCGAGATATGACGATCGGTATACTTAATGGTGGATCTAGGACCAATATTTCGCGGCGTTACAAACTTTTGGGGCTGCACAAATCTATAATACCCTGACAACATAGTTATGTAGGGTATAAATATCCTCTTCCTTCTTTAGGTCCCAGAAAAAAATTATTGAAAAAATTTACGCCTTCTTTAGGACCCAGAAAAAATTATTGAAAAAATTACGCCTTGCGTAGGTCACAGAAAAAAGTTATTTAAAAAATCTACACCTTCTGTAGGTCCCGGAAAAATAATATTTAAAAAATCTACGCCCACTTTAGGTTCTGGAAAAATTTTTTGTTTTTAATCTGCGCCCTCTAATGGTTCCAGAAAAAAATTATTTTAAAAATTTAGTCCTGAAAAAAATTATTTAAAAAATCTGCGCCCTCTGTTGGTTCCAGAAAAAAAATATTTTAAAAATTTAGTCCTGAAAAAAATTATTTAAAAAATCTGCGCCCTCTGTTGGTTCTAGACAAACTTATTTTAAAAATATAGTCCTGAAAAAAAAATATTTAAAAAATCTACGCCTTCTGTAGGTTTCTCAAAAGAAAATCTACACCTTGTGTAGGTCCCAAAACTACATTTAAAATATCTACACCTTCTGTAGGTCCCGGAAAAATAATATTTAAAAAATCTACGCCCACTTTAGGTTCTGGAAATTTTTTTTTTTAATCTGCGCCCTCTATTGGTTCCAGAAAAAAATTATTTTAAAAATATAGTCCTGAAAAAAATTATTTAAAAAATCTACGCCTTCTGTAGGTTTCTCAAAAAAAATCTACACCTTGTGTAGGTCCCAAAACTACATTTAAAATATCTACGCCTTCTGTGTAGGTCTCTAAATATTCTTTAAAAATTAGTTTTTTATTATCTTAAAAATATCCATGTTTCTGTGGTGTGTTCTGAAAAAAGGTCAACAATGCAATTACTGCCTACGAATCCAATTACAATCATTAATCTGAGTAAGTAGCATTCCTCCATCGTGCCCGCCTCTCCCTATGAAGCACAATCATTATAACGAAAGCTAGGCATGGTATTTCGTAATAATTTTCCGAATATTGTTCTAAGAAAATTTTCTCAGAATTCCTTTTGTTTTAATTCGCCACCCCCCACCCCTTCCTTCATATTTATGACAAGACGACTTCCGAGAAACATGTCAAATTGTGTAATGAATGACCATTTGTAATAGGAATTGCTTCGGCAATCATCATCATTGTTAGTTAGGTTAAGTGGTGGGAGACTGGGTAATGGCTTGGCCATTCATTAAAACATTTTTCAGTTAATGAGAAAATTACAAGGAAATAGGATTACTTATTTTTTTAATTTAATATTTTTGAATGTTTTAAGAGCACCCATAACGAAGACAGGATCTAAGTTATCTTCAACTTATTTAAACATTTCATATAACAATGTGAATGAGAATTATATCTTTATTCTCTTTATTCGACATCCCTATATCCTTCTGCAGAAGAAAACAAAAGAGCAAGCCGTCGCATGCTTCCTATTTAGCTAACTAGTTCATTTAACAAGACAATACAACCACTACAATTAATTGCGGCAAAGCTTCCATTGTTGCATTTCCATTCAACCCTCTCTCTTCTGCTCTCCTCTAATTCCAGATGCTGTTACTTGTGGCGGTATGTGTGGTGGTATGCCATGCAGCTCCTGTCGACAACAATGACGCTGAAGCAGCCAAATCGAAACGAGGTCTCCATCTAGGCATTGGTTATCATGCACCGCTGGTCTCACACTCGTACATTGCTCCAGCTCCAGTTATTGCCCATGCACCAATTATTGCCCATGCCCCACTGATTGCACACGCGGCACCCCTCTACACTTCGCATCATATCCTGCCAGCCTATCATTCATATCATCACTACAAGTAAACAACTGTAACATCACCGCCTCCCTCCCTCTTGTAACATTGGAGCCTCCACAACGTCTCGAGGGGGTTTGAGCAAATTACAATAGAAATTTATGCAGCAACCTTGCATGAAGGGGAGGAGGAGCAGCAGAGAAGTCAACAACTGGAGCAAATAGAAAAATAACAACAACACAACCAAGAAAGAAATTCGATTGGAAAAAATAGAATTTTGGAAACAATTTATAAAAAATGAAATTATTATTGGAGTTAATAAAAGGTCATGATTTTTTGAAAACTTAAAAAAAAATTATTTTAATTAAACAAAAAAAAAAATACTATTAAGAACCATTAATAGGCTTGGATTTTTACAAAATCGGTTCAGATTTAGATATAGCTCCCATATATATTTTCGTCCGATTTAAGGTAAATGGTGCACCAAAGACCCTATATATCTTTCGATTTGCATGAAATCATCATACTGAACAGATTTAGATATAGCTCCCATATATATTTTCGTCCGATTTAAGGTAAATGATGCACTAAAGATTCTATATATATTTCGATTTGCACGAAATTTGGCACAGCGTACTGAATTAAGCTTAGAATGATGTGTGCAAAGTTTCGTGAAAATCGGTTAAGATTCAGATATATCTCCCATATATATTTTCGTCCGATTTAAGGTAAATGGTGCACCAAAGTCCCTATATATTTTTCGATTTCCATGAAATTTGGCACAGGGTACTGAATTAAGCCTAGAATGATATGTGCCAAGTTTCGGTTCAGATTTAGATATAGCTCCCATATATATTTTCGTCCGATTTAAGGTAAATGGTGCTCCGAAGTCCCTATATATCTTTCGATTTGCATGAAATTTGGCGCAGGGTACTGAATTTAGCCTAGAATGATATGTGCAAAGTTTCGTGAAAATCGGTTCAGATTTAGATATAGCTCCCATATATAATTTCGTCCGATTTTAGGTAAATGGTGCACCAAAGTCCGTACACATCTTTCGATTTGCACGAAATTTGGCACAGCGTACTAAATTAAGCCTAGAATGATATGTGTAAAGTTTCGTGAAAATCGGTTCAGATTTAGATATAGCTCCCATATATATTTTCGTCCGATTTAAGGAAAATGATGCACCAAAGTCCCTATATAAACTTCGATTTACACTGAATTTGGTTCAGTGTACATAATTAAGCCTAGAATGATATGTGCAAAGTTTCGTGAAAATCGGTTCAAATTTAGATATAGCTCCCATATATATTTTCGTCCGATTTAAGGTAAATGGTGCTCCAAAGTCCCTATATATCTTTCGATTTGCATGAAATTTGGCACAGTGTACAGAATTATACCTAGAAAGATGTGTGCTAAGTTTCGTGAAAATCGGTTCAGATTTAGATATAGCTCCTATATATATATTCTTCCAATTTAACATAAATGGTACACCAAAGGACCTAAATACCTTTCGATTTGCACTAAATTTGGTACAGCGTACTGAATAAAGCCTAGAATGATATGTGCAAAGTTTTGTGAAAATCGGGTCAGATTCAGATATAGCTCCCATATATAGTTTCGTCCGATTTAAGGTAAATGGTGCTCCGAAGTCCCTATATATCTTTCGATTTGCATGAAATTTGGCACAGTGTACAGAAATAAACCTAGAATGATGTGTGCTAAGTTTCGTGAAAATCGGTTCAGATTTAGATATAGCTCCCATATATATTTTCGTCCGATTTAAGGTAAATGGTGCTCCGAAGTCCCTATATATATTTCGATTTGCACTAAATTTGGTACAGCGTACTGAATTAAGCCTAGAATGAGGTGTGCTAAGTTTCGCGAAAATCGGTTTAGATTTAGATATAGCGCCCATATATATTTTCGTCCGATTTAAGGTAAATGGTGTACCAAAGTTCTTATATATATTTCGATTTCGATATATCTTTCAATTTCGATACGACTCCATATCTGCCCGAATGAAATTCAATTTATCATAGGTTGCAGAAAGACATGAGCCTTGAGCTGCTTTGAGGGAACAGTGACATGCAATTGTAATGATACATATGTACAAAATACCCAAAGTGGTGATGGGTATCATATAGTCGGCCCAGTCCGACTTTACTACTTTCCTTACTGATTATATTTTATGTTTGAAAACCTATTGTACTAATTCACAATTTTCTTGAAATAAAATTTTGGCGAATCATGGCACAAATTTAAAAGAATTATTTAAAGAAAATCCTTTTCGAAGAAATTTCCAAATGAAAATCCTTTTACACGTTCATTAAGCAATTAACTAAGCCGAGAAATTTAACTATATTTGAGTGTGTGTGTGTGTGTGTACATAAAAACTTTCAACTGTGGACTATAGTTTGTGTTCGCCTCTCCTTCAGGCTTTAATGGCATCCACCTCAGTTCCGCTTAGAAGCTACAATTATTTGTTTAGTGCAACCACTCGAAGCAAGTGCCACACACACTGTTGCAACAGAGTGACAGTGCTTGCCTGCTTCCGGTAGTTTTCTCTAAAACATATGCTCATTTTGTTGTTGTTGTTGTTATAGCAACAAAGGATCAAGGATTCGGGCTAAAGTTATATAGCGTTAAAGTGGCTCGGTGTGCGGCAGTGTGTATGGGGGTGTGTGGGCATTCTAAGCTGTGTGCTGGAGCAGTAAAGTTAAAAGCGACCTTTACGATGTCTCAAATGACGAGACGATTGCATTTGGTAAATATCGTTGTTGTGGTTGTTGGCAATGTTTGTTGTTGTGGTTCTACTTCTTCTTCATCGACGTAATGAGGCAAGAATTGGAAGAAATGTTGCAATTATAAGCAATTATTTTTGGAAAATTATGATGGGGAAAGGGTATGGGTGTATGTGTGTGTGTCTGATCTAAGAAAAGTAATCAGCTGCCAAAGTCTATTTTTGTTTAAAACAAAATATTTTCTGCAGCACCTTAAAGTACAGAGTATTTTTTTAAATATATTTTTCAAGGTCTCAACCGAAAAATCTAAGCTAAGAGTGGGTCTAAAAAAAAAAATATTTTAAAAATCCCTGCCTCAATGACGTCATTACAAAATAATTCAAATGATACCTGCCTCTATCCGAAAAAAATAGGACATTAGGTCCTTTTGAAAATATTTTTTTTCAAGGTCTCTACAGAAGGTGTGGATTTTTATACCCTACACAACTATGTTGGCAGGATATTTTAGCTTTATGCAGCTCTAAGAGTTTGTAACGCCGCGAAATATTGGTCCTAGGCCCACCTTTAGGTACACCGATCGTCATATCTCGGCTAGCTGAGTCGATCTAGACATGTCCGTTCGTCCGTCTGTCCATTATAATTTGTAAACACGATACAGGCACGATACAGTAGAAAGCACAGAGTGTTTTTGAAATATATTTTTCAAGGTCTCAACCGAAAAATCTAAGCTAAGAGTGGGTCTTTAAAAAAAATATTTTAAAAATCCCTGCCTCAATGACGTCTTTGAAAAATAATTTAAATAATACCTGCCTCTATTCGAAAAAAAATATATATTTTCAAAAGGACCTAATGCAGGCGTGGATTTTTAAAAAACATTTTTTTCAAGGTCTCTACAGAAGGTGTGGATTTTTTATACCCTACACAACTATGCTGTCAGGGTATTATAGCTTTGTGCAGCTCTAAGAGTTTGTAATGCCGCGAAATATTGGTCCACCTTTAAGTATACCGATCGTCATATCTCGACTAGCTGAATCGATCTAGACATGTGTGTCCGTCCGTCCGTCTGTCCATTACAATTTGTAAACACGATACAGGCCACAGATATGGACCAATCTTCACGAAATTGTGCATGTAGGATGGGATCTGGCCAATGAAGACCGGTAAGGATCGGTTGATGTTTAAGGGATGAAATGGACCAAATACTTATTTCGCTCTAGAGGCCGAAATTATGGCCCGAACATCGGGCCACATGGAGAACGGGATCGGGCTAAAGAATAAGCATGCCTGTTTTTATAAAGATCGCTCAATATTTAGCGGGTCAAATGGGCCACATGGAGAACGGGATCGGGCTAAAGAATAACCATGCCTGTTTTTATAAAGATCGCTCAATATTTAGCGGTTCAAATGGACCCTGACTTTTGCATGGAAAATTACAAAATTTGTATTCTATAGCGTATATATTTACTCCTGAAGGACATAGACCCGAGAAATTATGGCCCGAACATCGGGCCACATGGAGAACGGGATCGGGCTAAAGAATAAGCATGCCTGTTTTTATAAAGATTGCTCAATATTTAGCGGATCAAATGGATCCTGACTTTTGTGTGACAAAATTACAAAATTTTTATTCTGGGGCGTATATATTTACTCGTGAAGGACATAGATCCGATAAGTTGATAGTATATCCAAGAGCAGTAGTTAACCCTTAAATTGGTAACCAATTATGTTGTCGTATGTACTCGGATGTGGGAGTTACACGTAAATATTTACAGGTGCTTACGTATTCAGATATTATTTAGTAACCCATTACCACATTAGAGGGCGAAAATGTAGCGCTGATCGCTTTGAAATTTTACATGAGGATCCAGGTATGGTCAAGGACAATGAATATAATTTTCGCTGATGATCAGATAATAATTTTGGAATGAAGTGGACCGAAAACTTACATTTTTTTTAATTTTTTCGAATCGACCTATAAGCTACAATTATAAGCCGAACATCACCACAGAACTCACGGTGAAGGGAATATGGAAATGCAATTAGAAGGGCTGTACTGAATATTAGTAATATTTGTTGACCTCAAGTCGGTCAAGAGGGTGCAACTATCACGAAATATTGCCCAGGCTCGGAATAAAAATCTGTAGAAAGTTAGATTTCCCAGGTAGTTGTGTAGGGTATCGTATGGTTGGCCCCGTCCGACTAAACTGCTGCGCTCACTGGTTTTTAAATATATTTTTCAAGGTCTCAACCTAAAAATTGAGTGGATCTTTTAAAAAAAAAAATTTAAATCCCTGCCTCAATGGCGATTTTTCATGCGCTCAAT